GCAATGTCGGAGGGTCAGTGCTGGGGTAGTGCCGCACTGTCGGAGGGTCAGCATTTGGAGGAGCGCTGCAATATCGGAGGATCAGCATTTGGAGGAGCGCCGCACTGGGGTCAATTCTCAGACAGAAGCATTAGAAAAGAAAGCAGTGTCAGACAGTTCTGGCTTTTGAGCCTGCTGCACTGTTCACTATGATTGTGGCTGATCATCCAATTAAGTACCCTGTTTTTCCTATCTCCCCGTACCTTTTGATCCATGTAACCTGTGAACTATATCTAACTCCTTCTGGAGAACATGCAGTGTTTTTGCCTCAACTGCTTCCTATGATAGAGAATTTCACTGGCCAACCACCTGTCTAGGTGTCTCTCCTCATCTCATTCAAAATAGCCAAATTGTATCTTTAGACTGTGACTGTTAGGTGTTTACCAGGTCCGTCATTCCTGTGTTTTCCTGTCTAGTCCTCTCAGAATTTTATAGATTTGTGTGAGAACCCCATTCATTTTTCTTTACCACAGGGCATGTTGTCCATCTAATCGATTCAGAGGTCCATCTCGTCCAATTCGACCAGATATCCCAAATTAATCTAGCCCCGTTTGCCAGCATTTGGCCCAAATCGTTTCAAACCCTTTGTATTTGTGTACCCGTCCAGACCCGTTTTAAATGTTGTAATTGTACCAGCCTCCACCATTTTCTCTGGCAATGTGTGCCCCCTCCAACCCCTCACCACTGCCATTAATCAGGTTGGTATACCTTCTGGTGCACTCCCTCTGTAGCCGCCAACTCTTTCCTCAGATAAGTCTGAACACGCGCACATTACTCCTGATGTGGTCTCACCAAAGCCCTGTACAATTGCAGCAAGACATTCTCGTTCCTGCATCAAATCCACTTACAATGAGGACCAAAATTCCATTTACCACCTTCAGTGACCTTCTGCACCTGCATGCTAGCCTTCAGTGACCTTCTGCACCTGCATGCTAACTTTCAGTAACTCCTGTACAAGGACACCCATGTCTCATTGCATTACCTTCTTTCCAGTTCTGTTGCCATTCAGATAATCAGTCTTTCTGTTTTTGCTGTCAACGTGGATAATCTCACTTTTATCCACATTATACCTGATCTGCCGTTCATTTGCCAACTTGCCCAAGTTGTCCAAATCAAACTGAAGCATCTCTGCATCCTCCTCACAGTTCACCACTCCCCCACCTAAGTTTGCGTCATCTGAGAGACCCTGGACTAATGGTGGGTCAGTACTGAGGGCATCTGCATTGTCAGAGAGAGTGCTGCACTGTCAGAGGGTTAGTGCTGCGGGATGTTGTACTGTCAGAGGGGCTGTTAACCCTTGGTCTCTGTCTGCTGTCCATTATATTTAAGAGATCTTATAATCCTTGAATGACAGTGAAAAGCTCTGTGAACTCTGAACATGTTTTTTTTCAAGTCTCCTTTCCCTTGCTGATCTTTGATCTTATTTATGCCTTTCAGCTCATAATTGGCATAGTCTTTCCGTGATTCAGACCAGACACTTTGGAATACCTGTCTCATAATATTTCACACTTACTGTCCACCTACTTAACCAAACTTTTCATCACTCAATGTTACCTTCTTTGATTAGATTTATTACTGTCACATATACCTAAGTAAAATGAAAGGTTTTGTTTTGCGTGCAGTACAGCAGATTTTAACATACAAAGATCATGGAGTTGTTGAACTGAGCAAGGAATACAAAGTTATGGCTGCAAAGAAGGTTTACAAAAAGTAAGATCAACATTAGATCTGAAATTTTGGAGGTCCATTCAGAAGTTTAATAACAGTGGGGAAGAACCTGTTGATTTGTTGCAGGTTCTTTGGCGCAGCATCAGCTATTTTCCCAATTATACTGTCTATTAGGTGGTTTGCACTATTGCACTAAATACATTAAACAAGCTATTTTCATAGAAATAATTGATAGGAGCAAGCATAGTTTTTGTTAGAGTATCAATTCTGATGGTCACACTGCTTTCTCTCCCATTATCTCATTGTCTATCCATTCAACGACTCATGTTGTATAGCGAGTCCCAGGCAGTGTGGAGGTTAAATAAAGGTTGAGAAGTTAAGCCTCTGTCTCATGTTGAGCAAACTGAAACTGCACAACCATATACAGAAAGAGAGAGCGCGTTTCCCAAAGTGTAGGGGATCAATGCAGCCTCTGAAGCCTTCAGTGCATCCTTTGCTGTTTCTTTATTTTGAATATGCTTTAATCTGATTTCTGCAGATTTGATAATAAACTTGCTGTTTGTAACAAACCTGTTTATTTTATCAGAGAGAGGAGGAAGCTTCCACTTGTCCCAGAGAACCTATTGAAGAGGAGGAAGGCTTACCAGGCCATTAAAGCCACCCAGGCCAAGCAAGCTTTACAGGAAAAGAGAAAGGTCTGAATTACTTTCAGGGCACAGATAGTCCTGCTTTACTTTGCCCACTCTCGCTGACTGGGTTGCTTTCTATCTATCTCTTTATCACATTTTCACATACACACACAAGCCTTCTCCTCTTCAAGTTGTATTTGGATAGTTGCACAGCTGGAAACAGGTCCTTTTGTTCCCAAATTATTGTTTCTTATCTGACTCCTGAAATCCTGCACGTGATCCACCTGGACCAACCTAAGATATATTTTCCATGGATTTTGTTTTCCTTGAATGTTAAATTTTCAAAATTCTAGTAATTTCAGCGGAGCGGACTGTTCAGGGCATCATCTGCAATCCTCCCTTTTTAAAGAAAAGATCTCCTTTTTCCCATTGCTGCTAAGCTTCTGCTCAAACAACTCTTTTCTGATGAAGGGTCTAGGCCCGAAACGTCAGCCTCTCTGCTCCTATGATGCTGCTTGGCCTGCTGTGTTCATCCAGCCCTGCACCTTGTTGTCTCGGATTCTCTAGCATCTGCAGTTCCTACTATTTCTTCCTTAGACATATTTACTCAACACACTTCATTCCTGAACTGAATCAAGCAAAGCATCTTTCCTCCTTTGACTAGAAGCAGACTGATGTGCAACTGTTGTCCATGTTCCTGTCCAATCACAATTTTCCCCGACAACTCCAATAAATTACTTAAGCACAATTTCCTTTTGACAAAACCATGTTGGCTCTGCCTGGTTATCTCAAACTTATCCAAGTGCCCTGTTATAATGTCTTCAATAACATGTTCTAACATTTTCCTATGAAGGGGTTACTGTGTGCACTTCTGGTCGCCACACTGTCTGAAGGACTTGTGCTGGAGTGAGTGCAGAGGAGATTCACCAGCATGTTGCCTGGGATGGAAAGTCTCAGTTATGAGGAGACACTGAATAGACTGGGTTGTTCTCCTGGAGCAGAGGAAGCTGATGGGGAAATCTGATTAAACTACACAAAATTATGAGAGGCATAGATAGGGTGTTTCGTGAGAATCGTTTCCCAGTAGCAGATGTGTCAAAGATCAGAGGGCATAAGTTTAAAGTGAGGATGAAGTGGGTTTGAGGGGATCTCAGGGATTTTTTCGCACTCAGAGTAGTAGATATATGAAACGTGCTACCTAAGAGGGTTGTGGAGGCAGGTACTCTTGCAACATTTAAGAAGCATCTGGACAAGCACTTAAAATGCCAGGGAATAGTAGGCTGTAGGCCAAGTGCAGGTAAATGGGATTAGAATAGTTTATTGTTTGTTGGTCAGCATTGATGTGGTAGGCTGAAAGGCCTGTTTTTATGCTGTATGTCTGTATGAGCTAAATGACCTGTAATTTCCCACTTTCTGTCTTGATCCCTTTTTGAATAAAGAAGTTACATTAGCTGTTTCCCAATCTAAAGGAACCTTCCCTCCTGAATCTAATGAGTTTTGGAAAATTAAAAGCAATGCATCACCTATTTCACTGGCTACTTTTAAGACCCTGGGATGAATAATTGGAGGTGGGGTGGGGGGCCGTTCAAACAGGAAATGGGGACATTACAGGCCCAACTTGTTCCCTTTAGGGTGACATACCAAAGCAACAAGCCTAGGGAACCCTGAATGTCAATGAATATTCAAGACTAGATAAAAAGGAAAAGAGAGGCTTTTAGCAGATCCACAGGGAGCAAATCACCCAAGGCCATGTGGGAATATAGAAAATGCAGAGGAAGGATCTTAAGACAGCAGAGGGGGCATGAAAAAGTGCTGGCGGGAGAAAATCCCAAGTTATTCTTAAAGCATATTAAGGGGAAGAGGATAACTGGGAAAGAGTAGGATCCAGTGACCCTCAGAACTGTTTTGAGAAAGGGTCATCAGACCCGAAACATTAACTCTGATTCCTCTTCACAGATGCTGCCAGACTTGCTGAGCTTTTCCAGCAACCTACGTTTTTGTTTCTGATTTACAGCATCTGCAGTTGTTTCCGTTTTTATTTAAAGAGTGGGATCCGTTAAGGACCAAGGGGTGCAATCTGTGCTTGCAGCCGGAGACATTGGTGGGATGTTAAACAAGTACTTCTGTCTTCACTTGGGAGGAGGATGTAGGTTCTGAATTTGGGGAGGTGGACTGTGAGGTTCTTGAACAGATTGACTTTGAGAATGAGGAGATATTGGAGGTTTTGGCAAGCTTAAAAATGGACAGATCCCTAGGCCAGGATCAGTTGTATCCCAGGCTGCTGTGGGAGGTGTAGAAGGAAATAACCGGAGTTCTGACTCAAATTTTTAATTCCTGTCTGGCCACAGGGGAGATGCCAGAGGACTGGAGGACAGCTAATGTGGTTCCACTTTTCAAGAAGAGTGGTAGGAACAAACCAGGGAATTATAGACAAGTGTGTCTCACATCTGTGGTAGGGAAACTATTGCAGAAATGATTTCATCTCCACTTGGAGAGGCAAAGTTGGATCCGGGATAGTCAGCATGGCTTTATCAGAGGGAGGCCATACCAAACAAATTAAATTGAATTTTTCGGGGGGGTAATCAGGTGTGTAATAAGGGTAGCACAGTTGATGAATATGGATTTCATCCAAGCCTTTGACAAGTTCCATATGGGAACCTAATAAAGAAGGTAAAGGTACGTGGGATCCAGGAAACTTGGCAAGATGAATGCAACATTGGTTTATGGTAGGAGATGGGGCATTGGGAGTGGGCGCGGACATGAGATTGACTAAATTTATTATTTTCTTCTTAAGTCAGTCACTGAATTGGTTGCCGTTTGTGCATTGTGACCAATGTAGTGAGTTGTACCTGTTTTGTTTCAGCTTCAGAAGGGAAAGCAGATTCAGTTTAAACGAATTGAGAATTTTCTCAGAGACTCCAGGCAAAAACACCGCGATGAAGTACGTTTTGCTCGAATGGCAAAGAAGCCGCGTGAGACCAAAGTGCCTGCTGGACAGAAGTTGGGTTTTGCAGTGAGGCTCAGACCGTGAGTAACTTACCGTGAGGATGAGAAATTTCTACCATTTGTTACCTTTCTGACATTACTGTTTTGGTAATCATAAATATACGTTGTTAATATAAATATTGTAAATATATGTACCAACCATTCAGAAGGTTCAAGGTACAATCAGATCAGCCATAATCTCACTGAATGGCAGAACAAACTCTTGTGAACTGAATGGCCTACTTTGCTCCTATGCCTTATGATCCTACGAGTCTTTTTAAGAAGTCCGTCAGTAAGATTGACTGCAGAGTTATTATTGGAATGGCAGGAGGTAGGGAACCTGTGATTGAATTTTAAGAAGCAGCTATTCTGGACGGTCTGTTAAATGCATCCAATCCGGATTTTGCACAAAACCAGTCTGAACTCTTTTTCCCTGATAGATTTATTCACCTACCAATCAACCCAGTGTCTGAGCAGTCCTTTTTAATTTCTTAATGACACTGACACTAATGTTACAGTGTGACACTCCTCTGGCAAATGGAACTTGAAGCAGGGACACCACTACTCCACAACAAGACCTAGCAGTCACTTTTATACTCTTCTGTTGATACGTAATGGAATTAACAAATGAATAATTAATTAACTTTTGAAAACTAGCCTTTAAGAAAATACTGTAACAAAATTTAAATCTGGAAAGAAAACTTTGAAAATTAAAATGTCTTTTCCAAGCGAAATGCTGTATTCCAGTCCCATGGTGCCCAGTGCATACAGATGGCTGCAAATGTGCCAGTGTACTCCCCCACACTGCAGAAGAGGATTGGATTGTCAGATTGAACAATGATCTGCACAGCCCACTCCCTAACCCTATTAATGGCTATCTTAGTCAAGCCCAGGAGCAAATCCCTTTCTCAACAACCCCTTATACCTCCCTCTTCCTTCCGTTTGCTGACCACCTTTATTCTGCCCTCTTTCTTCACACCACCTTGCTCTGACCACATGTCACTCACCCACCCCCCTTACACTGCTTTGATCCGCCTCCGGCTCTCTGTTCTTCTGTCTGCTGACATTTTTGGCTGCTCTGACTGTCTCTTCTTACTAACCCCAACCTGCCACTCCTCTATAATGTGTGCATAATTCTACCTCTTAAATTTGGCCCCCATCTTGGCCACTAATTTTCAGATATTTGTCTTTGACTATTTCCACCCCTGACTATTGCTACTGCATGTCCATTTGACCATTTATGTCTGTGCAGTTCTCCTCAATTTACATAAAGGACTACTTAACTTGCGATACGTTCCAATCTTCTCCCCTTCTCTCTGCTCTTCCTTTCCAAACAACAGTCCAATTTCCTAATACCCTAGTTGAACCCACCTCCAGCAGACTTCTAATTATCACATTCTAGATCCTAACCTCTACTTCATCCTGAACACATTTTTCCACAAGATGCCATTTTTTCTTTGAATCAGAGATAGTAGGAACTGCAGATGCTGGAGAATCCGAGACAACAAGGTGCAGGGCTGGATGAACACAGCAGGCCAAGCAGC